TTTTTTCCAGCCTGACCCTATATCCGCTAACATTGCTCGTCGAGGGAGGCAATGGCTTGGCATACGTAACACATGTCCTAAGCATCTCAGTCTTTGTAACTTCACGACTTCGTCGATTGATTTCCCCTCCTTACCTAGAACTCGACCAACGCCTAACCTTAATATTGCTCATCTTATTATGCCACTTTACACGGGAAATAGAACGCAGGCACCTATGATCAAAGACAGCTAGTCTTTTCATGTCTTCCACTCTCAGTGGCCAGGTCTCACAGCCAGCCATAAAGGAGGACAGAGCGGACTGATGAGCAGTACACCCGCCCTTTGGTCGATAGTCGAACATCTCGTCTACGCCAGAGTCGGCGTAAACTGGCAAATGCGAAACGAGCCCTCTGTATTCGTGCTGAGATCAGCCCGTTGGGGCTGATGGTACTTCCCAAATAAGTGAAGTGGTCAACGTGCTTTACCACTTCACTCCCTATTTCTAAACTAGGCGTCGATGTAGTCCAGTCCTGTAACATCATCTTGGATTTGGCGGGAGCGAATCGCATGCCAAACATTCGTAGATTGCGGCTCAAGGTGTTTAGAAGACTCTGCATTTCGTCAGCGTCTTCGCCTAGAAGGACTATATCGTCTGCATATTCCAAGTCAACGAGATTATTCCCCGGTAGCAAGTCAGTCTCTGAGTCGCTGAAGTCACTTAGGGTTAAGTCCATTAACAAATCTATGATAAAGTTGATTAGAAAAGGGGATAATAGGCATCCTTGACGGACACCACTAGTCGTCACCAGTTCAGATGACAGATCACCGTAAGCCCTCACCTGGCTGTATAAGTACGAGTTAGGTGCCTTGATCAGTGGAATATATTTTCTCGGGATTCCCTTTACAGCCAAGCATCTCCAGAGAACTTCTCGATCGACAGAGTCGAATGCTGCCTTTAGGTCAAGAAATATAATGACTGTTGGACGCCGGTAGGAATGTCTATGTTCTAGAATCTGTCGGAGGGTGAAGATATGATCAATACACCCTCTTCCTGGTCTAAAGCCTGTCTGGCTCTCTCGTGTTTGTGTCTCCTTAGCACCACTTAGTCTACGCATGATTATTGAGCCTAAGACTTTAGATACTATATTAGTCAAGCTAATCCCTCTGTGATTATCACAGGAAGACTTGTCTCCCTTCTTGTATATGGGGATAATCAGTGACTTACACCAACCCGATGGGACTTCTTCTGATTCCCAGAAGCTGCCTAGTACCTCAGTTAATCCAGACAGTAAGCTGTCTCCACCGTACTTAAATACCTCTGGAGTCATTCCATCAGGTCCCGCTGCTTTGCCTAGTTTCAGATTCGTGACCGCTTTAGTAACCTCAGTTACTGACGGAGGACCTGTGTTTAAATCCCATTCAGGGAGGTGTTGGATGCTCGGAAGGTTGAGCTTGGCTGTGGGCCAATTAAACTGCTCCTCATAATGCTCTTTCTAACGACCCAGTCGTCTATCCTGGGAGCTAATTATGGTGCCATTTTTTTCCGAGATTGTTTCACTAATGAATTGTCTTCTCCCACCCGTTTCCCTGATGAGTCTAAATAGTTGCCTGGTGTTGCCTATCCTCGAAGCTTTCTCCATCTCTTTGGCTTTTGTTCACAAGTAAGTACACAGAAATTGAAAGCACACAGAGCAAATACCTAACTATGATAACAATAACCTAATGACTCACAAAAGAAACTGTGTGCAGACATTGTTTAAAAGAGTCTTCAAGCAGAATTCATACCCATGCAATTTCATCATAAAAGGTGTCTTCACTCAAGTCGTAATACCAACAAGAAATCATCATCAAAGACAGTAAGAAAACTCACTCTTTCACATATATAAAGAGTACTTCTGAAATAACGGCTAGAATACTAAGACCATTTGAACTAAAGATATAGCACATATGTCAACACAATCACTTCATACGATACTGTACAGACCAAAGCACCCAATAGTAAAAGGCGATAAGATCGATACCATTTACAAATTAAATTGCATAAACCGCGATAAACACTACATCAATTTTAGTGGATGTCGCCTTCGAATTAGAATGCAAGAACACTAATTAGCTGTGAAAAGACACCATAAGCATTCTTTCATATCAATGCATGCAGACTATCATGGATGCCAGTTTGATTGGGAGAGTGTAGAATGCCTAGAGGCTGTGGAAACATCAAAAATGCCAGTGCATCTCTAGAAACTTGGTATTCAGATCAGTCAGCGACTAACAAACACATTTCTATAGACTAAATTTACCAATTCTGCTTATCAACAGATCACATGACAAGAAAGTTCAAATTACAAGTAAATAAAAGTAATCAGTTTAAATTGACAATCAGTCATAACAATGGTTGTCATTCATATAGAGAAATGGAACAAGTTCCCCATATATATTAAAAGTCGCTCTGAATATGTTATCTATAAGGACTACGAAAGCTTCGCAATTAATTCATCAACGAGCTCAGAGATCACTACCAAATCAAGAGAAAATAAGGCTTCTTTATGTGTTATCAGGGACATTAATGCGCTTTTCGATTAGTACGCTACGTTTGCTTAGTTAAATAAAACTCTCATCTCTCTGGTGTTTCTGGCCAGGAAGTCAGTGCTGCTATACGGATCAGAGACTTGCCACCACGCCGGGCCGTGTCACGGTCACTTCTAACTACACACCTTCATCAACAGCTGTCTTCACCCAATACTATTCAATATCAGGTGGCCAGTCAGAAAATATTAGCAAAAGTGAGGGATCTCTCTCAATGAACGAACCAACCAGCCCAGCAGGAACCAACTGTGCAACAGATATGCAGGAAGAAATAGAGGTGGATTAGCCATACTCTGAGAAAACAAACCATCAAGTGACATTCACCACACGTCAGACCGTCGCTCGTTTGGAAGCCGAACGAGATGCGGCGAGTTGGTCGTCAGTGCGAGGGTGGCATGAGGGAGGTCATGTGAAGAGGAGGTGAAAAGATGTAGGCAGACTTGGAGCCAGCTGAAAACGTTGGCGGAGTACCGGACGCAATGGAGAGGTGGGGCTGAAGCTCTATGTTCCTCTAGGTATCAAAGGAAACGGTAATAATAATATAAAATAATATGCTTTCAGAGCAGTTGATTACGCTGATATGAAAGGTGGATAAACATATGTGGGGTGGGAGTGGGGGAGAGAAATGATAACAAAAATCACGACAAAAATTTACAAGAATTTTATCTGTCTGAAAGTTGGAGTTTAAAGATTTGTACAATCTTCACAAGATGTTATTAGTATGCGAAAACTTTATATAGCTAAAGAGTAACCTCACTTCTACGACTTTATTATCTTTACACTGGTCTAAACCCTGTCGTAATTATGTGTCCTTGCCAATCAAACAGTCATTCAGTGTGTACAACTTACTGTCCCCCTGAGTTCGCCCGATTTATGGAGATTCCTTGTATTACATCCTGGCGACTGATATATGCATCAAGATCGTATATACACAACGTATGGTGACAAAGTAGTCAGTGTTGTAATAAATCTGAGTTTGGTTACAGGATTTCATCATGAGATGACACTAGTTAGAGAACCATTGAAAAACCTGCAGAGAGCACTGAACAGCTGTTCCGTAAGCCTAGTATGGGACTCCTCACCGGTACGCACCCAACACTCGGGTTCAAACCCTGGACCTTCTGGTTAGAAGGCTAGCGAAGTAGCTCGTAGACCATTAAGCTATTGAGAACCGATCCGATGGCCAGTGCATGAGAATTCAAACTCCTCTGACCACTTCACAATGTCTTCTTCGATGGGTTACTGTCTCACCTTTCAACGCAAACATGCATTTTCAAAAGGGTAGGTAGTAGAGATGCTAAGTTTGAGTTTTTTTGAAAAGGAAAATGTTTTAGTGTAAAAGACACACTCGTTCACATATAAGTATACATGTATAAAACCTTTATTTACATAAATGTTTCAAGCATGAAGGATACACAGTCGCCTACACACATTTTGTAGTTCCTTCTTCTTCTAACGAATAACATTCAATGACTTCAAACAGTTGTATGCATAACTGATGTATATCTTCGCTGAAATAAAGCCGACAGTTTAACATGTGAATACATCGATGTCTGTTTTCATAATTCATCAAAAAAAAATTATTGTATGCACCCACCCACCCACACACACGCACGCACGCATGTGATGTATCTATTGTCCTATTAAATAAATAGGGGAGGCGTGGACGAGGGAGGGTGGATGCTATGTAAGACTAATATGGAGCATAATCGGGCAATAAAGTAATACAATAGTAACAATAATAATAATAATAATTAATAATCACACTGGATCTACGCAAAAACGGGGAATAAGGATTCTGTTGTTGTCATTGTTATGCAATGACACTACACATGTATAATTCACAAAATACAAAAAAAGACAAAACGATAAGGCATAATGTCACGAAAAAGACGGCGTTTAAACTGGAGGCGAAGTAGAGGCGGATGCGGAACAAGAAGAGGAAGCGTAAAAAAGGCTGGTGATGAGAATGGCGCAAGCTTTGATGATAAAAGATAAAAGGGGTTACACAGGGTCGGTTGTTGAATCAATTTACAAATACGAATAGAAAATCAAAAGTATAAAATAAACAAACACAGCGCAATAGTAGTGTATCAGCAGTAGTACATAATAGATAGATAGAGGTCAGGGTGGGGTTGTTAATAAATAAACGACACACAAACACGCATTATAGGAATTTTCTCCTCCCGAACACTCATTATTATTATTATTATTATTATTATTATTATTATTAATTTGTAACACCCCAAGAAATTTCAGGAGATGATGGTGCAGATTTCATGTGAATATCATTTTCTTTTACAGTGTCAGAGGCGGCTTCTTGTTCAACAACTTTTAAAACTTTCTGCAGAGTAACTGTGACTCGATCTGTAGAAAATAGGGTATATTTAAAGATATTTGATTGTTAATAACGTTTATAATAATAATAATAAACAGCTATTTAGAAAAAATTATTTGAAACGATTCATGTTAAATAGACGCCTTAAAGAAGATTGGAATCGTCCCAGCTAATAATAACAACACATTTACGTAAATATAAATATTTATTTTTTGGTACAGGTGTGGAATTTTCAGCGTGTGATATCGGTAGCCCAAATTTTGCTAACCGACAATAGATATCAGGTGTGCCTCGGCAGGGACCATGTACATGGTTGGCGAGAGTCCTAACCACTGTGCCACCGGCGCACTTAATCGTGAGGAGCTAGGTCGTTCAATGCATGCCCTTCCAAAATTTGTTAGAGAACATCGCCCAGGATGGCTGCAAAGATGACGCACTAGTTCAATGAGAAGCTCCATAAATGAACACCTCATCAGCACACCCGTCACAGTGTACCATCAGAAGACAAGGGCCAGGCAACAGATCTTTTTATTACGAAAATCAACGCGTATTTATATATATTTTATGTACATTAATAAGGCTTATGCAAGCAGAAAAAGGCAGTCTTCTAATTGGTTGTTTCTCGGAAGACAAACACAGTCTCCTGATTGGTTGTTTTCGATATTTCTCGGAAAGTAGAGCCATTTATCTGCGAATCATATTTGCCCACGTTTAAGTCTGCTGTGATTGGTTGTTGAATCAGCCTAGATTAATATCTACCAATCAGCGTCGATTAATGTCTACCAATTGGCTAGCAGCCTGCTCTCACCACACTCGTCCCCCCGTCAAATAGCTTCGTGCGCAGACGTTCCGACCTTCTGGGTGCTACATCCTCTAGTTGAGGATTGTTACTGACCGGCTTGTCCCACTGTACCCATCTTTGGAGCTGACTGGCGTTAACTCGTTTCTGTTTATCACCTCTTCGGATGGTATATACTTGACCCCGTCTTTTTGTGATTGTGTATGGTCCTTCCCACTTTGGAAGGAGTTTCCGTGAACCTAGCCCGCCTCCAACTGTATATCTCCTGTCTCTACACTTCACTTGGTCCCCGACTGCAAAGGTAATGCACTGCGTCCTTTCTTTCATCTGAGACTTCGCGACATCACTGCGCTGCTTCCGTATTACATTCTTGACTGCCTCTTTCCTCTCTGCTTTTAATTTCGTCGTACTCCACTTTTGGTGCATGGGCCAGGTCTCATTGTGTACCGGTAATCGTGGTTTTCTACCATACATCAGTTGGAAGGGTGACTTCTTCGTTGTTTCCTGAGTGGTAGCCCGATGTGTTAGTAAAATCAGTGGAAGCTCCGTTTCCCAGTTCCCGCCCTTCGAGGCCAGCCACTCCTTCAGTGTACGGTTGTTTCTCTCCGTTAGGCCATTCGTTTGTGGATGGTATGGGGTCGTTCTGATCCTCTTGATGCCCAGCTGTTGCAAACGGGAAGTAAACTCTTCACTCTCGAAACAGGGACCTTGGTCTGTCAGTATTGTCTTCGGTACGCCGTGGTCTGCAACAATGTGTCTAACTACTGCATCTGTCACGGTTCTTGCACGTTGGTCTGGGATTGCTACGGCGTCTACCCATCGTGTCGCGTGTTCCGTCATCACCAAGAGGTACTGATTACCATTGGATGTCTGAGGAAATGGACCCATGACATCTACGGACCACAAGTCACCTATCGCGGTAACTGGAATCGACTGAAGTGGTGGTCGTATACACCGGTCACCTTTCATCAGCTGGCACCGTGGACATCCAAGTACGTATCTTGCTACGTCTTCTCTCATACCTGGCCAGTACATACTTTGTCTTAGGAGGTCGGTCGTTCTGGCCACGCCTGTATGCGCTAGCTGGTGACATTCTTCTATCATGTCGTGGCGCGACGATTGAGGTATGACAGCCAGCCAGCTTCCGTCGTTCTCTCGCCAGGTCAGAGTCCCGTAGGCATTCACTCTGAGTCGATCCCTCTGTCTGAGTAGTGTGGTTAGCTCCTTACTCGCCGTAGTTTGATCCACTTCTATTCCGTTGGTGATCACCTGTATTACTGTATTCAGCGTATCGTCCAACCTCTGCCTACGTGCAAGTCTTAGTGGGTCTTGTTCTACTGCATGCACTCCGTAAGCGACCTCGGGCAACTCAGACTCATCTTCTGGTCTCGATAACAAATCTGCCAAGACATTTTCACTTCCAGGAACGTGTGAGATCGTAAAATCGTACTCCTGAAGACGCAACATCCACCGTGACAACTTCCCCCGTGGGTCTCTCGCTGTCTTCAAAAATTGTAGCGGCTTATGATCAGTTTCGATGTGGAACCGCCGGCCGAGTAAATAAGGTCTCCATTTGTCGACTGCCCATACCATTGCTAAACATTCTTTCTCTATCGTTGAATACTTTCTCTCTGTGAGTGTCAAAACCCTACTGGCATACTCAACGATTCCCTCGTCCTGTCTTAGGACCGCACCTATAGCGTAGTCACTGGCATCTGTGCACACTGTGAACTGTCTTCCTGGTACAGGTAGTTTTAGCGTCATTTGTTGGTGGTCGAGCAGCTGTTTAATTCTGTCGAATGTCCTCTGCGATTCTTCCGACCAAACAAACTTTGGCTCACCTAGTAGCCTGTATAGAGGGGCTGCTATCTCATTGAAGTTCTTCACGAAGCGACTATAAAACGCTGCTCTACCCAAGAATTGTCTCAGTTTTCTCTTTGAATTCGGGGCTGGAATCGTTTTAATCGTCAAAATTTTCTCCGGCAGTGGTTTAATCTCACCATTTCCCACTTTATGTCCCAACAGAGTAACATTCTTTTTGGCTATCTGGGACTTGGTTTTGTTGACGCGTAGTCCAAACTCTTCGATGCGTCGCAGCACGGCTTCTACATGGTTGACGTGATCGTTTTCGTTTTGACTGTATATGACGAGATCATCACCATAAACCTCCACGTTTTTCAAGTTCTTAAGTAATAGCTTCATCAGTCGTCTGAACGTAAACGGTGCACCTGCTAGTCCAAACGGCATGCGTTTAAATCGATATTGTGTCTGACCCACGATGAAAGCCGTCTTATCTCTATCACCTTGTTTTATCGGTATCTGCCAGTATCCTGAGCGAAGATCGAGAACCGAAAACACATTCGCACCTTGTAGGCGATCTAAAGTTTCTACCACTGTTGGCATGGCACACGGTCTTAACTCTGTCATACTGTTTAACTGTCGAAAATCAACACAGAATCTATACTTCCCATTCGCTTTTTTTACTAACAGCACTGGAGAGTTGTACGGGCTATCAGCTTCCTCAATAATATCATCTTTTAACATCTCTTGCACTTGTCGCTCCACTTCGCCTTCCAGATGACATGGAACTCTTCGCGTTAAAAATGACCTTACTTTTGGATCACTTAACGGAATTTCATGATTCACCTTATCGCAATAACCGTATGGGTCGCCATCTCCAGTGAACAGATGATCGTATTTATTAATTAACTCTGTCACATTGTGTACCGTCGACAGCTTAATCGCTGCTATCTCGCTGGTCTCATACATGTTGATATGCCCGTATTTCGTGATCACCACGTTCGCTTGCGTGTCGATTATTGCACCAATCTCACGCAGAAAATCCGCTCCTAATATCGTTCGCTGTAGTTCGGGTACAACAATGAAAGGAAACGTCACCTCGCAGCCACCAACAACGACCGTACAGTTCGATCTACCCGTGATACGCAACACATACCCGCCTACTGTTTGTACTGTCAATGAACACGGACTAACACTCTTACATAAATTCTTATCTATTAACGACACGGCCGCTCCTGTATCTATCAAACATACTACTTCTCGATCATTCACTCGCAACTTCGAATACAGAGCCCCTTTCTCAATAGCCCCCACTAAATCTAGGTTCATACGAAAGAAAGAACAAGCATTATACCGTCTGAAATTTTTTCTTTTTCGCCTTTCTGGGCAGTATCTTCTCCAGTGTCCCGGCTTACCGCATTCAAAACACCGGTCTTTTCTATCAGCCAACTTTAACGCCGCCACTTCCCGCTGCAATGCTTCAATTTTCTGCTCATATTCGTTTGGTTTTGGTTGGTCTATAGCGGCTACCGTTGTGCTCAGCAGCTGTCTGGTCACCTTCGCCAGCTCACTAATATCCATCGGCTGCGTTGCGTTAACCAGTTTTAATCGCTGAGAAATGTGGTCTGGGACACTCTCGATGAATTGGGAAGACAGTAACTGCGCTTCTGATTCTTCATCTAAAGTGGGAAGCGCGCGTCGAAGTAGATTCGTCAGTTTCACCGCCAACACTAGCGGGTCTCCATCAGGTCCAAGCTTCATTGACCGGAACTGCTGCATTGCTAGCTGTCTGTCTGTTTCGCTGTCAAACTCGGACACTAGTCGTTCAACCAATTTCTTCCAAGACGCTGTGCCATTTGACCTGTCTACGCTGTCATATGCAGCCTTCGCTCGGCCTCTCAACAGCGTCCCCAGGACAACTGCCTTCGCCGCCTGCTCCTTGACACCCACCAGCTCAGCAACGGCCTCGAAGTCACGTAAGAAGCTCCGTATGTCTCCTTCTTCAAACGCAGCTGGCCACGGGATCTTCATTTTTCTGGAGGCAGCGACACCAAATGTAACAACAGAAGACAAAGGCCAGGCAACAGATCGTTTTATTACGAAAATCAACGCGTATTTATATATATTTTATGTACATTAATAAGGCTTATGCAAGCAGAAAAAGGCAGTCTTCTAATTGGTTGTTTCTCGGAAGACAAACACAGTCTCCTGATTGGTTGTTTTCGATATTTTTCGGAAAGTAGAGCCATTTATCTGCGAATCATATTTGCCCACGTTTAAATCTGCTGTGATTGGTTGTTGAATCAACTTAGATTAATATCTACCAATCAGCGTCGATTAATGTCTACCAATTGGCTAGCAGCCTGCTCTCACCACAACAGCATCTCAACTGACTCACTCATCATTCAGAGTCATTTACAAAGTGTACAAAAACCCACCAAATCCAATATATTTCCGACATTTTGTATTACAGAAGCCATTATCATGTGTATCGTAGATGAACCGAAGCCATGTATTCAAAAGAAACTAGTCCAACCTCTACATTTACATTCTAAGCCCCTTGTAATCTATATCCACTAATACCTTAGAACATTCATATCAGGTTGAAAATTGTGATCACTTTTAATCTCCTTATGTGGAATTAAGTCTGAATAATTGTATTTATGTAAACTTGTGTGTATAAATTCGAATGTACATCTGCTTTTGAGAAGAAAATCGCTGAAAAGACGTGTTATCTTCGCTAAGCTTCTTAATCTTTTCTCTCAAATACACGAGAAACGAGATATGTATCATGGCACACGTAGGACAGAACTAACTGGTAAATTGGCTTTCATTCTATCATATAATAATAGACCAACTAAATTACCATTAGAAAAAATCTTCAATTTAGAATAGTACAATCGTTTGAATTAAACTCATCTTGATATTGAATAATAATCATTCGAAAAGTTTTCAGTGGTAATAAATATATCCTTTTACATCTGTTTTAGTGAACTAACGGTCAAGTCATCACGTTGAGATTAGCAGACAACTGTTGCAGATATTATTTACCCTGACTGAGGAGGGGTTTCGACATAGACCTTCTCACACATGTGAAGCAGTACTTCGAGTTGACACACTCCCTCCATGTATTACACAAAGCAAGAGAAGAGATTACAGACAAATTCAAAAAAAATAGAGATAATAAACAGAAGTGTGAGTCATGGAAAAATAATAGTAATATGGAAGAACAATAGAGTATTGTTTGATGTGACAAACCATAATGAGTGAATGCATATGTGCCATTCACAATGAGTGAATGCATCTGTGCCATTCACAATGAATGATTTCGAACCATATCACCAATTGTCTCCAGCCGTCATTGCATTTTGCCATCCCAAGGATCTCAACCAGCTAAGCAGTCTATATTCCCCTAAGTGGCTAGCCAAAACTAACTATCAAGGATTCCATAGACTGATTACAAGTTTTGGCTTCACTACCACTAGCTGCTTTACAACCTAATCTGTCGTTAAAGGCGATGGCTATACAGGCGTGTCACATGTTCCAGATGCCTCACACTCGATGTAACTTCACAACCTCATCTATTGATTTTCTCTTCTTACCGAACACTTGACACCTAACCTCAATATCACTCACTTTATTATATTGTAACAACAGAAGGCAAAACACGGAAACCAAGTTATATTTGTCATTGTCATTGAACCGCTGCTTATATATCTACAGTGTATATTCGTTAACCAATCACTGAGCGTGTGATTTTGGCTTACACTAAACTACATGAAATAGAATGTCCATATATACATTGTATTCTGTTGCTAATGCTGTATTGAAATGTGGGAATATGTGAAAATCATATTCTCTTGGCACACATTGTCTGTATCACACCACCACAATTTCACCTAACATGAGAGATAGAATGCCGACACCTATGATGGACGATAGCTGACCAAACGTTTCACGTCTTCCACTTCTAATGACCGTGTTTCACTTACAGACACCTAAAGGAGGACGAAGCGAAGTGATGCTGGGTAGTACACACGCCCTTTGGTCAGTGACCCGCCGAATTTGACATCTATGCGAGAGATGGCATAAGCTGGCAGGTAGATATTTCAGAATTTAACTGTCGAATAATAATGGATGAAAATCCAAGATTCCTGGTTAGAGAGATGAGAATTTTGAATGTTATATTGTAACAACAGAAGACAAGGGCCAGGCAACAGATCTTTTATTAAGGAAACCTATACATATTTATAGATTTTCATGTACATATTATAGATTATTGTTAGCAGAAAAACACAGTCTTCTGATTGGTTGTTTCTCACAGAACGTTAACCTTGCATCTCTCTTTGTGGCTGTTTCTTGAATGTCAGATCATCTATATGTTAACTGTATCCTCCTACGCACAGCCTTTGTTCTCATTTTTCTCACGACCAATATTGGGGACATAAACATTGACGTAAATTACTGTCCAACAATTATGGCTAACAGCCAGCTCTCACCACAATATTAATTTGAAGTGTATGTCAACTAGGCACAACAAGGTGAAAATAAGTCTAGAAAACCATCTGTCGAAAAAAATTGAGGATCTTTCAAGCCTAACAAGAAAATAGTTCAATTCGACCTAAAATTCTTTTTACATCGAATTAATTGTTCTACATGTGCAAAATAAATTACATGGCAATGAAAAACAACTTACATATTAGTGATTGCATGGATTTTGGCTTGTTCTTCCACGACACTCCAAATAGATACACTGGTATGCCTAACGCCATCACACCTAAACTAACAGCAGAAGTTTTTGGAGACTGATATACTGTTAGTATTCCAATAGCAATGTCGACAACCAGATACAAAACAGGGAGCCATATAGGTAACTGGAAAAGAGAAAAAAGAATGATAATAAGGTTATCTTTGAAAAGTTACTCAACAAGCAAAGGTATTTCGGTGAATTTTTCAATAAATGAGGATGTTGCCCACTTAAATTGTTTTTCAAATAGGACAATTCAATAACAGCGTGGAAATAAACTTTGACAGGCGTAAGTTGTATCCACTTTCATCAGAAGATCAAATGGCTTCATCTTTCTATGAGTATTTAAAGGTTATGTGTAACAGGGTCGATCACAAGTTGACATCAGTTAGAGGATCCCTGGAAAGTCTGGAAGTACTAGATAGTTATTTCGTCCTAGTTCTGGATTCTTCAATAGTTCACACCCGCCAGGATTTGAATCCAGGGCATTCCAGTTAACAGGAGAGCTAGCTCGTATACCATTCCAGCCACTGAGACCCTATCCAATGACTAACCGATGAATCCCGAACGTCACTAACTCGCAATATATGCACAGTACAACCGCTAACCAATATCATGGGTGAGTAACTGTTTTTCTTACGTGATTTTGTGAACCCGGCTGGTTAAAATGTCTCACTAGAACTCCAGGTAACTACTACTTTCCTGTACAGAGCCAGTCCCTAGTGAGCATCAGATTTAACTATCGAGTATTGGTTTCTAGGGATTTGATTGGTAACAGGTCTCATCACGATTTGACATCAGTTATGTGTAAATAATTTTTTGGATATAAACAAATCTCTCTCTGTGTGTGTACACAAATGCCTGATGTATAATCACGCTGTTCTTATTATGACAGCAAACATTTCAGCATTTTAAGAGCATATATTATGCAATTTTTGAAGTAATAGAAAATCTTAGACATTAAATCTATCGATCTTAAGAAGGCGTCAAATTAAATTTTCTATTTGTTGAGATTCAAGATAAAGATATATCCGATATTTAACAAAGAAATCATAGGATAGGTGGAGAAACTTAGTGATTGTAAGGTTCAGTACTGTCCTCAAAGTATGTTGGAGGTGTATGTAGATGATACATTCATCGTATTTAGGACACAGGATACAAATAAACTTTTCAAACACATCAACTTGAAGGTAGGGACAATTCATTAATTCACTTATGAATAAGAAAGTCAGGAAAGAGAATAAAGGTGGTGTTCGAACCCACAAATGCGACTAGAAATAAGCTTTATCGGTTAAAGGATTGTGTGGAGCCAATTAAACAAAACAATTTGGTTTATCTAAAAACCTGCCTACAATGTCTGTTAGGTCAAATACATAGGTCACAGTAATAGAACAGGGACAG